GTGTGTGTGTGTGTGTGTACTGTGTGTGTGTGTGTGTGTGTGTGTGTGTGTGGTGTGTGTGTGTGTGTGTGTGTGTGTGGTGTGTGTGTGTGTGTGTGTGTGTGTGTGTGTGTGTGTGTGTGGTGTGTGTGTGTGGTGTTGTGTGTGTGTGTGCGTGCTCGTGTGTGTGTGTACTCGTGTGTGTGTGTGTGGATGTGCGTGCGTGTGTGTGTGTGTTTGTGTGTGTTGTGTGTGTGTGTGTGTGTGTACGTGCGTGCGTGCGTGTGTGAGTGTGTCACTATGGGAGAAGTTATATGCACATGTATGTATGTGTGTGTAAAGTGTGTTCCTGTGTACTTACTTTTGAGAGAGAGAGAAAGAAATTTGAAAACTTCCTCGTGGCCCAATATAAAATCCCACACAATGAATCCGACGAAAGACGCCTCAATGCCATCTCCCCCCCCCTGCCTCCAACAGGGGCGGCGTGAGCGTGGAAATCGAGAAGACGCCCGAGAGGACCACTTCCAAGCTCTTCCTGACGCGGGCGCTGAAGGGGGACTCGGGAAACTACACGTGTGCGCCCAAGTTCGCTTTGGCAGACTCGGTCCTCGTCCACATCGTTAACGGTAAAGATCCTCTGGTTGAGAGAGGAAATGGAGGAAATCCTTTTGTCTTGTCATAATGCAATGTTGGTTTATCGATTTCAGTTACGTTCTGTAGAGGGATAGATAGAGTTGATGATGTAAATAGAAACACACGCACACACCACCACCACCACCACACCAATACACCCATCCCCTGCCACTCACCCTCACAAACCACACAATACACCAAGACAATCAAAACCAGTCACAAAATCTAAAACCCAGCATCCCTCCCCCCCCTCCCCCCTCCCCCCACATAATCCTTTCAAACAAAAACGTGTCTTTTCTCTTTTTCTCCCCAGGCGAAGAATCGGCGGCGGTGCACACGGCCAGCTCAGCGAATCTCGAGTGTAACAGGTTGCTTTTGAGTAGTTCCTTGTTAGTGGCACTCCTGGTTCGTGTTCGCCGGTGACACACGTGAATAAGTAAGTATCACACGAAGAACGTCGCTGGAGAATCTATTGAAATCTCTTGTTGGTGCCTGACAGTCTGCGCATGAATGTGTGTCGACGTTTCTCTCTCTCTCTCTCTCTCTCTCTCTCTCTCAAAAGAACTTTTCTTTCCTATTTTCTCTCCTTTTATCTCGTATGATTTTCTTTTCCTTAATCTCTTTATCTCTCCTCTTCTCTCTTCTCTCTCTCTCTCTCTCTCTCTTCTCAGAAGAACTTTTCTTTCCTATTTCTTCTTCTTTAATCTCGTATGATTTTTTTCTTTACTTTGCCTTTATACTTACCTTCTTTCATCATGACACTTTATTTCTCTTTTATTCTCTCATAAGAACAGTTTTCTCCTCTTCCTTCTCATAATATCTCATCTGTCCTCATAATTTTCTCTCTTTTCTTTCATATCTTCCTTTCTTTTGTTTCCCATGTTTCCCTCTCTCCTCTAGAAAGAATTTTATTCCCTTTTTTCTGCTCATAAGACATTTTCTCTCCTTTTCCCTTCCCATAAGAACTTTTTTTCCTCTTTTTTCCCCTAAAAGAAGCTTTCTTTCCTTTTCCCCTCTCATACTATTTTTTTTTTCTTTTTCTCACCTTTTTGTTTTTTTTTCTCTCTCATTAAAAGTTTTTTTTTACCCTATGCCCTGTCATAAAAACTATTTTCCTACTTTTTTCTCACATTTTATTTTCTACTCAAAAGAACTGTTTCCCGATGCTCTGTCTTAAGAACTTTTTTCCTACTCTTTTCTCACATTTTATTGTTCTACTCATAAGATCTTTTTTCCCTATGTCCTGTCTGAAAAACTTTTTTTCCCTATGTCCTGTCTTAAAAACTTTTTTTCCCTATGTCCTGTCATAGGAACTTTTTTCCTTCTCTATTCTTACTTTTTTCTTTTCTTTTTCTTTCCATTAGAACTTTTCCCCCTATGTCCTGTCATAAAAACTTTTCCGCCTCTTTTCCCTTATAGGAGTTATTTTCCGCTCTTCGCTCTTATAACTTTTCATGATCTTTCCTCTCATTTCTTTTCCGCCCTTTTTACTCTAAGAGCTTTTCTCTTCGCTCTCATATTTCGTGTTCTTTTCTCTTATTATGACTTTTTTCCTCATTTTTTCACGTAAGAACTTTTATTCCTAATTTACTCTCACACGATTTTTCCCCATTTTATTCTAACGAAGTTTTGTCTTTATACAAGCTTTTTCTCTACTTTCTGCATATATGTCTTTTCCTACTTTTTTCTCAAGAGTTTTTTTTCGAGAAAAAAACTATTACCATCCCCTTACTAAAGTTATTTATTCAACTTCCATCATATGAAATTTATTTCCCCGTACTTTCCCCAGGTAAGATTTTTTCCCCTTTACTCTCCTTTATAAGAACTTTTTCCTGTTTTCCCTCAGGAAAGTTTATTTCCTTATTATCCATTCATGAGAGCCTTTCAT